ACTTCAGCTGGGGCTGGGGCTGTCCCTCCTGCTTGTGGTGTCTGCATTGCCTAACTGAGACATCGAATGCAGCACACCGTCTTTCTTATTTAAGCTGCCCTTGCCTTGAATCTTGGCAGCCCTCTCTGACACTCTAGCATGATGGATTTTCCTCACTCTTAAAGTTGGGTTGAATTGCATTTCCTCCTACTTGCAGTGGAAAGCCCCCTTGGTGGTGTGTATTAATTTCCTGTGATGAATGCAGCAAACTTACGAATCTAATGGCTTTGATAGAATTTGATTCTTTTACACTTCTAGAGATCAAAAGACAGATCAGTTCTACTGGGCCAGCACCAGGATATTTTCTGGGCTATACTTCCTAAGAAGGGTCTAGTGGGACAGTTGGTTTTCTTGCTTTTCTGTAACTATGTCCTTTGTATTCCTTAGTATTTTCAAAGAGAGCAGGGTAGCACCTTGCTTCAACGGCCACAGTGCCTTCTTCCTATGTCTCAAATCTTCCTCTGTATTCCTTTACGAGGACATTTGTGATGGCATTTAGGGCCCACCTGTGTAATTGGGATCATCTCTCCATTTTGAGATCCGTAAGGCAATTGTATCTGAAATTCTCTTTAGCCACGGAGCGTCACAAGGAAAGCGAGATGGTGAGGACTAACAAGAAATATGGTTAGACCAATTCTGTGCGTGGAGGACATGTCAATCAGAGATCAGCCTAGGTACCAGGAGCAGTAAAGCACTGGACACAAGGAATTTATTTTTCATTTTATTTTTTTATTTATTGAGTTTATTGGTACATTTGAGGTAAACATTATGATTACATTCACTGTTGGGAGCAATTCTACATGATTTTGGGGAAAAATCATTTCATAATTAAATTATGATTAGGGCCTAGTTTTCCTGTCTACAGGCTGTAGCTGGCATGTCCAGACGTAACTCCATTTTCACCTCCAGTCACAGCTAAGACCTCAATGGTCCCATGATGCCTTGATGCTCCAGGGCAGGACTACACTAGCTGGAGACATCTTGGGAGGAACCAAATCTTCATCTGCATAGTTCCTCATTGTTCTAGGATTTTAGGGGCACTCTCTGAGTCAATTGCTACTTTTGTTTCTGGTGATGTTCTGAAAAAAGGTGTGGCAAGCTCCATCGGGGTCTTTGACCCCCAGAGCGGCATTGATGAGGCCAAAGCTCAGCTTCTTCTCTAAGTCTCACTTTCTGTCTATATATTAATTAATTCACCTTGTGCTGTTGTGGCTTGCAGGAGACTAGGACTTACTGCAGAGGTTCTAGTAATGTCCTCTTTCCCTGTTCCCTACTATTCACCATTGGGACTTTGTACCTGTACGTGATATATTTTGGTTCTTATTTATTTCCCATTCCCCTTCCCTCCTTTCAACCCCTCCACCCCTCCCTATTTACATAAGCTTTGCTTTCATTTTTTCCTTTACCTTCTTCCCTCGCCCCCACACCTCTCTCTAGTTCCCCTTCCCTTTTGAACATTTTCTTCCCATTTCACAATTTCTATTATGCATTTTGGTCCTCATTTATACTTTTGGTTTCTCACACCAGAGAAACAATTTGATATTTCAACATGTGTGTTATATTTATTTCACTTGAGTATAGCCCCAAGGTGCATCCATTTAGCCATAAATGTCACGTTTATCTTTATGGATGAGTTGTACTCCATTTTAATTAAAAAAAAAAAGATCTTCGGGCCGGGAATTTAGCTCAGTCCACCACCTGCCTCAAAAGCTCAAGGACCTGAGTTTGATCCCCGGTACCAAGAAACTCCCCCCAAAACACATCTTTATTGAATCACCAGCTGATGGGCATTTGGGCTGTTTCCAAGATTTAGCTATTACAAACTGCCACTATAAACATGAGTGCACATACATCACTGTGGTATGATGATTTTTAATTCTTTAGGCAGTATACCCAGAAGGGGAATGGCTGGGTCAAATGGGACCTCTAATCCTAGTGGGGTTTTTTTTGGTACCAGGGATCGAACTCAGGACCTTACGGTTTTGAGGCAGTTGCACTGCCACTGAGCTAAATCGTCTGCCCTAACCCTAGTTTTGTGAAGAATCTCCACACTGATTTCCACAGTGGTTGCACCAGTCTACACTCCCACCAACAATGGAGAAGGGTTCCCTTTTTCCCTTAGCCCTGGCAACATTTGTTATTGGTTTATTTCTTTTTTTTTTTTTATCTTGAAGTTTTATGGTCAGTTTATTAAGTTCTGATAGGTCTCCCACCACCTCAGCAGCTATTACATATAGTAGCTGCCCTCTTCCTATGATGCCTTGCCCCCTCCCCTGTGTGACGTCATGCCAAGATGGTTGCTCCCACCAAAGAATAAACCCTTCTTCCCAGCATGTCCCTGGTCCCACCTAGAGAGTAACCAAATACTCGCTCACCTCCTATCACCTAGTGACGTCACCAGCTCCTCCACTCCCTAGTCACTACCTCACTCAACCCCGCCTCAGCCCCTACAGACCCCACCCCTGTCTCTATAAAAGACTCTCCCTGCCCCGGCCATATTGCTTTTGTCTCTCTTTTGTTCGGAGACAGCTTGGCAGATCTGTTCCTTAATAAAGGCTTGTTGTGGCCTAGTCTGGTCTTGGTTTTCGGCCCTTTTACCTGACAAGTTCAATGGTGAAAGTTATCAGAAGAATATTCTCCTGAAAGTTATTTTTTCTTAGAAAAAAAAGAAAGGAAAATTAAAACCTCCGGAGCTCTCCGGAGATGGTGCCTCAGTCCTCTGAGTCACTGCCTGAGGCAGCAGGGCTGTAGTCTGGGCCGTCCTCAGCATCCTCCAGCTCCAAGTCATCCAGTTCCTGGAACAAAGACTCATCTACTTCCACATTATTTCCAGCATCCTCCAAGAACTGGATATCAGATGTGTCAAGATTATGATCGGTTTCAAACAGCTGTTTGCCACTTAATTTATTTTTTCCTGCCTGCTTTTCTTCTTTTATCCGTTTCTTTTTAATTTCCAAGAGTTCTGCATCAAACTTGCCTTTCCAACATAAGAAATTTTCATTTGTAACAGGGGTGCCATGGAATAATTGCTTCTCTTCTTCTTCTGCTTCTTTTTCTTTCCGTTGTTTTTGTTTTTTTGGTACCGGGGATCCAACTCAGGTCCTTGCGCCTGCTGAGCAGGCGGCGAAACCACTGAGCTAAATCCCCGGCCCCTGCTTCTTTTTCTTTTAGTTTCTTTTCTTCCTCTCTTCTCGTTTTTATCTGATCTACTATTTCATTTAATTTTTCTTGCACTGATGTCACTAAAGATCATGACCACACCAAAATTTTCCTCAGCCTGAAATGCTAATAATTTAAAAAAGTCTACATCATTATCTTCTAGGTTTTCCTGGGAAAATATTTCATAAAGAGGAGCTTCATCTGGGTATTTTTCACTGTATGTAAACTTGAGGGTAGTCTGGACAGTTTCATCATTTTCTCCAGCCTCAGATGTCACAGTGACGGTGAAGCTGGGTGGATTTTCTGATAATGCTGTGAAGGAGCCGGGGTTGATGGACTCCAGCGCCTCCAGCTCGTCTTCCTGCTCTGTAGTCTGTCATCGCGGCCCTGGCTGCTGCCCATGGAGCACGCCGACGCTCAGGCAGCGCGCCACAGCCGAATCCCCTGGTTGATTTCTTGAGAGCAGCCATTCTTTCTGGAATGAGATAGAATCTCAGTGTTGTTTTCATTTGTATCTCTCATATGACCAGTGATATTGAACGTTTTTTCATATGTTTGCTGCTTCTACTGAGAAGTGTCTATTCATTTCAGATGCCCATTTTTGTAATTCTTTTTGCTTTTGGTATGGGAATCGAACTCAGGACCTTGGGCCTACAAGGAAGGTGGCGGAACCACTGAGCTAATCCCTGGCCCTCAGATGCCCATTTTTAGATTGGGTCTTTAAATTTGGGAAGTCTGATTTTTTTTTTTAAAGTTCTTTATATATTCTAGATAGTAGTCCTTTGTTGGAGGAAGAGCTGGAAAATTTTTTTCCCCCACATTGTGGGTTATCTGTTCACTTTGTTGGTTTCTCTTGCTGTACAGAAGCTTTTTAATAAGAAGAGATCCTAGTTGTTGATTCTTTGTGCTAGTTCCTGTGCAACTGAGGTTTTGATCATAAAGTCTTTTCCGACGCCAGTTGGACACAGGGAATTTAGAAGTAACAACTAAAGGTCTCAGATCAAGGCCAGGGATTCTGCGAAACATCTGGCACTGAACATATCCAGGAGACCCCCAGGGCAAAGAAGGAGCCAGTGGCCAATGGTGATAGTTCTGAGGACAGCAAACCCTGCTCTCAGGTGACCCCCTTGGCTTGGCCGCTTAGTGCTATGCCCTGGGGCTGTTCAGAAGCTTGGCGCCTTGCTCCTCTCTCTTCTGCATCGTCAGACCTTCTCTCTCCATAGGCTCTCTCTCACTAGCATATGACATGCTGTAAAATCTCCTGTCCCATCCCGCTCCCTCCTTGACTCTACATCCTCCTTATCTCTTGCCCCAGTCCTCTGTGTCCCTTGACAGCAGAATTCCTCAACACTGGTCCTCTCTGCTCTCCATATTCTCTTTCTTCCAACTCAAGGATCTAGAAACTTGTCTTTTATGGGTTAGATCTAGAATGTCCCCCCAAAGGTTCATGGGTTCAGAGGTTGGGTTGTGGGTGTTGGGTATTTTGTCCTACTAATGAGAAAGTGACTAGGACACTGACCAGTTAGAGTCCCTCAGCACCTCCTAGTCCACTGAAACCCTTTTAGTCAGCATCAACCATGACTGTCATATGGCCAGGTTCACAGCCGTTCTCAGAGACCTTCTTCCTTGGCCCCTCCCATCTCCCATTTCCTCTTCCCATCTCCTTGGCTCCTTGTTTTTAGCTCCTTTGGTAGTTTCTACCCACATTCCTAGATCCAAGAGGATTAAGTTCTTAGATCTTGTACTCCAGTGAATTATGTTCCTCCAGAATGATATGTTCAAATCTTAATTTCTAGATTGTCCTAGATTTAAGTTAGATGCTAAACCCAATGACCAGTGACTGCCTAAGAGAAAGAAGAGGAAGATTTGAGGCTCAGAGACACACAGTGGACACAGCCATGTGAAGACAGAAGCAGAGATTGGAGTTGTCCTGCCATAAGTCAGAGAATCCCAGGATCCATGGGAACATAGAAGAAACAAGGAAGGACCCTTTCCTATAGCTGCAGAGGGAGTATGGCCCTGTCATCACCTTGATTTCAGGCTTTTGGCTTCAAAACTGTGAGTGAATAAATTTCTGGGGTTTTCTGTTTGTTTGTTTTGTTTTTTGAGACAGGGTCTTGGTATGTAGTCCAGGTTGGCCTTGAACTCATTATGTAGCACAGGCAGGCCTTGAATTTGTGGTGATTCTCCTGCCTCAGCCTCTTTAGTGCTATTACAAGTGTGCACCATCAAGAGCCTGGCTAAGTTTCTGGGTTTTTTTTTTTTTTTTTTTTGGTGCCGGGGATCAAACTTGGGTCCTTGTGAGTTTCTGGTTTTTTTTTTTTTTTTTGTCACCAGCTTTATGGTTATTTGTCATGGAGTCTGTGGGTAACTTGGTACAGAGTTCTCATCCACACTCACTTCCTTGATAAGCTTGCTCCAGCCCATCGCTTAAAATACCTTTATTAACTGATGGCTCAAAATGTATACCTCCTGCTTAACCTTCTCCTGACTTCAGCCTTGATCGTCCAACCTGAAATCCTGCCTCTTCCCTTGACTGTCTAATGTGTTTCTTGCACTTACCATGTGCAGAGCCCAAACTCTGACTTTCCATCGCTCTATCTGTTAGGGTTTCTGTCTAGATGTCCCCTCAAAGCCTCATGAGGTTATAGGGCTTTTTCAGAGGTTGCTGAATCTAGAGTGTGTGACACTGAGATTAGGTGCATGTGATTACTAAACCAGTCCACTGATTGGTTTGGCACCACCCTAATCCCTGTAGTCTGGATAGCATAAAAGGGGCAGAAAGACACTGTTAAATTTCTTTGTTGCTTTTGCCACCATATGGGCGCCATGAACTGTTTCTCCTCTACGACGCCCCTCTGCCATGTGCCATTCTGCCTTGGAGCCACTGATTATGGACTGAAACCTCTACAAACTGAGCTAAATAAACATTTTCCCCGTGAGCTTTGGGTGTCAGGTATTTTGTCTCAGCAACGAGAGAAAGGTAACTAACACATCTGGCTTTCACATCTCAGGACATATAAACTCTATTCTTCTAAAACTTAATCCAAAACCTCTGCTATCATCTGTGGCAATGCCTTCCCACTGTAGTTAGAGTAAAATTTATTCTCTTCTCTGTAGAGGGTCTTTTGTGGGGGCTAGATAGGCGATCTGTCTATCTATCAATCATCTATTCATCCAGCTACCTACCTATCCACCTGTCTATTTTTTTTGTGTGTGTGTGGTGCTGGGGATTGTAACAAGGGCCTTGTGCAAGCAAGGGAACCTCTCTACCACTGAACTACATCCCTATCCTGATTGATCTGTATTTGTAAGCATTACTCTGATTGCTCTGGGGAAACATGGATGAGGGAGGTGTTACAGACTGAATCATGTTCCTTCAAAATTCATAGGTTGAAGCCCTCACCCCCATTGTGACTATATTTGGAGATGAGACCTTTAAGGAGGTAATTAAGGTTAAATAAGATTATAAGGGTGAGGACCTACTCCAGCAAGACTGGTGTTCTTATTAGAAGAGGAAAAGACTCCAGGAATGGGCAGGGAAGGAGGGAGGGAGAAAGAGAAAGAAGGAACTGGGAAGAAGGCCCTCAACAGACACCAACCAACACCTTGATCTTGGACTTTCAGACTCCTGAGCCATGTGACAATGGATTTCTGCTGTTTAAGCCACCCAGTCTATAGTATTTTGTCAGGCAATCCTCGAGGGCTAATATAAAGGTTGAGGGCAGGGAACATGTAGACCAGGTGGAGGTGAAGGAAGTAGCAAAGTATGATGGCTCAGAGAGGAAGAGAGAGGGGCCTGATGCTGGCTATATGGTGAAGGTAGAGTCTACTTGTATTACTAACAAATGGCCGCCTTTCCAGCTGTGTGGCTCAGCTTTCCATCACTGGGAAAAGACCTGAGAAAGACCACCAAAAGGAGGAAGGGTTATCTTGGCTTGTGGTTTCAGAGGTTTCCATCATGACCACTTGAGCCCATTGCTTTAGGCCTGAGGTATGCTGAACACTGAACATCGTGGCAGAGCTGCTCACTGAATAACAAACACACCAAACACACACACACACACACACACACACACACACACACGGGGAGGGGGGGAGTTCCCAGAGGGGAGAGGTTAGAGACAAGATTAGTCTTCAAGGCAACATCCCCAGCAACCTGCTTCATTTAGTTAGGCTCTACCTCCTAAGTTTCCATTATCTCCCAATAATGTCATAAATTATGATTCCATCACTGGATTAATCCACTGATGATGCAAGAGACCTCATGATGCAGTCACCTTGGAGAGACTCACATGACAAGGAACAGAGGCTTCCTGTCAACAGCCACTGAGTGTGCCATTTTGGATCTTCCATTGTCAGTCAGGCCTTCAGATGACTGATGTGTCAGGACTCCCTTCCTTCCTTCCTTCCTTCCTTCCTTCCTTCCTTCTTCCCTTCCTTCTTCCCTCCCTCCCTCCCTCTTTCCCTCCTTACCCTTCTTTCTTTTGGAATTCAGTTTCATTTACTGGGGCTGGGGATGTAGCTCAGTGGTAGAGAACTTGCCTAGCATGTGTGAGGCTCTGGATTCAATCCTCAACACTTTCAACCCCTAAATAAAAAGAAGTGAAAAGAAAAAAAAATATTTATTGAGTATGGTATATGTATTACAAATTCATCTAATATGTATAAGAAAGTGTTACAAAAAAAAGAAAATGTTACAAAATGTTACATCATGACTTGGACTATGTGTGTGGGGAGTCCAACTCTGAGGCTTCATCTTAGAAACCACTTTTAAGTTATTTATTTATTTTTGGATTAGAATTACAATTTTAATGAACACACATTAATTGTATATATTTATGTGGTTCGCTGTCATATTTCCATTCATATATGAATGGACCAAGCCCCATCTCTCTTTTCTACCCTCCCCCTCCTACAGCTTTCTCAGTTTCTAGCAATCACTACTCTACTTCAGGTTGAGTATTTTTTAGCTTCCACATATCAAAGTGAACATGCAGTACTTATCTTTCTGTGTCTGGCTTATTTTACTTCATACTGTGTCCTCCAGTTCCACCCATGTTGCTGTAAATGAGAGTTTCATCCTTTTTTCTGGCTAATTCTCCATCGTGTGTGTATACCACATTTCCTTTATCTGTTCAACTCTTGGTGGGCACTTAGGCTAATTCAGCATCTTCTTTATTGTGAATAGTGCCATGATAAATGGGGGGCATCCAAGCATTCTCTTGACTACAATTATATGAGTGATCGTAAGCCCAGTTAAGTTACTATCAAATTCCTGAGCTGTAGTCACTGTGACATAATGTATTCTTACTCTGACTTGCTTTTTTGCTACTGGGGTCTGAACTCAGGTCCTTGCACATGCTAGGCCAAGTGCTCTATGTCACCAGCCCTTTTTTTTTTTTGCACTGAGCTACATCCTCAGCCCTTTTTATGCTTTTAAATTTTTTTTCAGGGTGGGGGATTTAGCTCAGGGGCACCGCGCCTGCCTTGCAGGCAGTGGGTCCTGAGTTTGATGCCTAGTACTGCAACTTTCAGACAGGTTCTCACTAACTAACTAAGTTGCTCAGGCTGGACTCAAACTTGCAATCCTCTTGTCTCAGCCTCTCAAATAGCTGAGACTACAGGTGTGTGCCATCACACCTGGGTTATTGCTTTAAGTCACTAATTTTGAAGTGTTTTGTCACACAGCCATAGATAACCAAACTAGCATCCTAGCACTTCATTAAGGAATGTGGGAGTACCTAACACTTACCATTTTTCCATCTTGTTACAAATATCACCACTTGCAGGAGGTGTTTCCTGACCACCTCTCTACATTAATCCTGTCCTATTCCACTATCTTTTAAAAATAATACTAAGTAGGGCTGGGTATTTAGCTCAGTGGCACCTCAACTACCTCAAAAGTGAAAGGTCCTGAGTTCGATCCCCGTACTGGAATAAAGGAAAAAAAAAAAGAGAAAAATAATACTAAGTCAGTGTTGGAAATAAAATATAACAAAGCAGACTTTTGCTTCTTTCTTTTCCTTTAGGGGTTTACTGTCTCTCCTGTCTGGATGGAAAGTCCCGTGAAGGGAAGAGCTCACCCACCTTTGTCACCTACGCTTGGTGCTCTGTCAGAGCCCAACGACAGGGGCTATGTCATTGTCACTTCTGTGCAATCTGTGGGGAAAGACAAGTGTATGTGTGGGATCAAGAGGGTTTCTTCTCAAGATGGATTTGCATGTACTTGACTTTTAAAGAAAAAAGGAACAAAAAAAAAAAAAAGAAAAAAGAAAAAAAAAGGAACTGAGAATCCCCAGACCCCTAAGTAGGAGGGACCTCAGCAGAAGCTACCAAGTCCTGGTTGCCATTCTCAGCTCCTTATGCTACCCACAGCCATGTACAGCCTGTATACCAACACCAAGCACCGAGGCCCAGCAGGTATGGCTGCAGCCAGGCTTGGGCTGGGGACCGGCTGTGGTCAGCATCCTGGTTACACCCCAGGCAACTGGGGTTGGGACCAGGGCCTGAGGGATGGAGGAAGGAATGGGCTGGGATCTGACTGGCCTTTTCTCTGGAAGGATCCATGGAGGAGGAGGAGGAAGAGGATGGAGATGACTATGAGAACACAGCACCACCCTATAAGGACCTTCCTCCAAAGCCAGGTTAGAGGATTCTCGGGGATCAGGTGTGGATGTTGGGGGTGGTGGAGGGAGCAGGCTCACCAGGGAGCACTGGCTGGGAATTGCAGATATAGTCTCCTGTGTGTACAATCCAGCCCAGGTACTGTGATGTCAGAGCCCTGGAGCTACATCCTTCTCATGAAGACCCTCGAGTCTGATGGGGGGCAGTCTGGGTGCCATGTTAATGGAGAGAGAAGGGATGAAGGGAGTGGAGAAATTCTGAGGGGGGTTAGGGGTTCTCTTACAGTGATGAGGACTGGTGGGGGTCAGGGGAGAGGACACTAGAGTGGATCTTGAAGCACCAGCAGGAATTTGTCAGGAAGACAAACCTGGGAGACACTGGTGGGTGCAAAGTCGCTGAGGCATGAAAGCCGGTGTCTGACAAACTGACTGTGGCTCTCTGGCATCCTTGCATTTACACTCAATGCTGGGTCTTTTTGTTGTTGTTTTTGGAGACAAGGTCTCACTAATCTTGCCTAAATTGGCCTTGAGTTCCTGGTCTCAAGGGATCCTGTTGGCTCAGCCTCCTGAGTCTGTTAAGTGACTATAAGGGATTCCCTGAGTGAGCTGTCACCAAGGGGTCTTCGTTCTGGTGTGGCTGGACAGGGGCCATCCCACTGGGACGAGGCTCTTCCTTCTCCCTTCTCTTCCCTCCCTCCCCCTCCTTTCCCTCCCTCCCTCCCTTCCTTCCTTCTTTTGTGATACTGGGAGCTGAACCCAGGGCCTTCACACTGAGAGTTACATCCCCAGCCTTTTTAAACTTTTAAATTTTGTGACAAGGTCTTGTTAAGTAACTAAGTTACCCAAGCTGGGCTTGAACTTTTGATACTCCTGCCTCATCCTGGCTGAATGCAGGGATGACAGTCATGTGTCACAACACCTGGCTTACATCCTCCATTCCTGCAGTTCAGGGACATGTGGGGATGCACATGAAGTGGGGAAGAGTTGGGCTGGGCTGTCTGTTTCATCTTTGACTCCAAAACTATCCCAGTATGATCCTCAAATGTACCTCCAAGATAAACCTCATTCCCTTGTATAGGGCCACCGCTTCTCCACACAGTCCTCTTCCCATCTCCAAATGCAGCCCACTTCCATCTCAGTCTAGTTTCTTTTCCTTCTTTTTTTCTTTTCTTTTCTTTTTTTTGAGACACGATCTTACTATGTAGTTCAGGCTGGCCTTGAACTCACTATGTAGCCTAGGCAGGCATTGAACTCATAGCGATCCTCCTGCCTCAGCCTCCCAAGTGCTGGGACTGCAAGTGTGTGTCACCACGCTCAGGTTCAAGTCCAGTTTCATCATCCTATCCCCATCCAGTTACAACCTGACCTCACCTTCTTCCTTGATCTCAAACCTAGGGCCTGTACTCGAGCTCTCCTTTTCCCCCATTTCCCAACCTAGTAACGACGCCATTATCCACTCTAACCACATTGTCTTACCATCGGACTCCCGCATTCATCGCTGCCTTCCTTCACCATCTTCACCCCATCTGCTGCCACCCAGTCCTGACATGAGTTCCATCCTCACTTCCAAACTCGACTGTGACCTTCATTCAGATGACCAATTGTCCCATTTCACCCAGGACTGAGGAGTTTCCTGTGATGTGGGAATCTATTATTTTATTTTTCCTGATACCAGGGATTGAACTCAGGACCGTGTGCTTGCCAGACAGACTTGGTGCCACTAAGCTACATCCCTGACCCCTATTTTTTAATTTTTAAAAAATTAATTTTATCGGGCCAGGGATATAGCTCAGTGGCACTGCTTCTGCCTCACAAGTGCCAGGTTCTGAGTTTGATCCCTGGTACCAAAAAAAAAAATTTTAATTTTATTGGTACAATTTAAATATACATAATGATCACATTCGTCATAGGGAAATTGTACCTGTACATAGTTTAAACTTGATTTCTCTTTTTCTCTCAATCCCCTCCCCTCCCTTCAACCCCCCCCCCCCCCCGCCCTGCCCCTTGATGTGGGAACCTAAATTGAGAAAATCTAGCTGGGCATAATGGTGCATGTCTATAGTCCCAGGTACTCAGGAGGCTACATGGGGAGACTCCATCTCTTAAAATGCCTAGGCAATTCAAGATAGTTATTCTGCCTTCTCCTGCTTCTCCTTCACTCCTCTTGCTCTTTCTTCTTCCTCCTTCCTCTTTTTTCTCCTCTTCTCCAACCTCCTTCCTGTTTTGTTGTTGTTATTATTGTTTTTACACAGAGTCTCGCTATGTATCCCAGTCTGGCCTCTAACTCGAGATCCTCCTGCCTCAGCCTTCCAAGTGCTGGGATCACAGGCATGTGTCACCACACCCAGCTGGTCACTGTGCTTTAACTCTGTCCCCTCCCTCATCCTGATTCTGTTCTTACACCTAACTCCATCTCTACCCCCATCTCCTACCCTCCACTGGGACCCTGATCTTGTTTCTATCATTTCCTTCAATCTTGGTCCCATCCTCACATCTGCCCTAACTCTGAGTTTCTCTTTTCCAGGTCCAGTTGCTCCACCGAGGGCCCCCAAGGCAGGTGAGCTGGAGGTGGGGGTACAGAAGACCCAGTGCTGGTTTTGCCTTGCTCTGGGCCTGAGCGATCATTCTTCCTTTGGCAGGAAAGAAAATGGAGAACTGCCCTCTTCCTCGAAAGCCCCTGGAGATCACAGGTGAGAGTCAAGGGCTGGGAGCTTCCTGCTCGCCTGGCTGAAGCCCTGCTCTGAATGACCATTGTCTTTCTGCTCCTTCCAGCCCTGGACCTCCCTCCAGTCACCTGCACATCTAATCCCTTGGGTGAGCAGTGGGGAAACCCTTTAAGGAGCTGGAGAAGGGCCACCTGGACATTTCCTTCTCATCCCCACTTCTATCCAGAGGAGAAAGCAGGGGTATTGGTCTGGGGAGACAGAGTGTCACAGCAACTTCTGGATAAACCTCTCTCTTCCTCCCTTCAAGGTGTCACCCCTGGGGAGCCTCCTCCATTCCCACCATCCCTAACCAGTAAGTCCTTGGTCCCTTCTGGTGTCTCCCTAGCTTCCCCTCCTGGTGGGCAATGCATTTGATCCAGAACAACAGCACTAGAGTGAGAATCTGGAACAGGGGTGCTTCTCCTTCAAAAACTGGTCCTTTCTGAGTCTAGGCCAGGGTCCCAGGGAGTCAGGGTATTTCCTGAGGACTCTTCAGGCCCCTTTCCTACTTACAGAAGATATAAGAGCCAGGTGTGTTGGGCATGCCTGTCATCCCAGCATGACAACGTCTGGGAGGTTGAGGCTGGAGGATCACAAGTTCAAGCCCAGCATGGGCAACTTAGTGACTTAGTGAGACCTTGTCTCAAAATAAAATTAAAATTGATAAGAAAAGGCTGGAGATGTAGCTCAGTGCAAAGGCACTGGGTTCAATAACTATTATTGCAAAGAAGAAGGAGAAAACAGGAGAAGAAGGAGGAGGAAAAGGAGAAGAAGGAGGAGGAGGAGAAAGAGGAGGGGAGGAAATAGAAACTGTTCAATGCCCCAGAAGAAAGGGTCCACAAGATTCCTTGAATGGGGAGCCACTTGGGCAGGTGATGTGGAGAGTGGGAAATAACGCACCATAGATATTAAGAGCAAAGGTGGGTCCCAGTCATGTGTAACCTCCCCAAGCCTCAATTTACTTGCCTGCACAATGGGGATAATACTTATCTTTACATCATTGTAGGGCTGAGGCTCCAATAAGACAAGAGAGACAGAACATGATGCTTAGCACATAATTAATGCTCTACACATGTGCTCTGGCCTCCTCAGTACTTTCTTGCTGTCCCTATCTGGTGACTTGGACAAGACCACAGACCTCTGACCCCTCTGCTCTTGAGAAAGGCTCAAGGCTCCCTTAATTGTTCTCTGAAGCACCAGTGTGGGGTTTTCTGTCTCCAGCTCCAGCTCCAGCAACTCCAGGGCCCTGGACCAGTCAGAAGTCCAGGGGTTCTGGGTGTCCCCGGGAGGAGAGGTTGCTGATGTTCCTGTGTCTGCTGGTGGCGACTTCACTGCTCTTGAGTGGTGTCAGTCTGACCGTGGCCCTGCTTAAGTGTGAGTGGGGACAGGGTGGGGCACAGAGAGAGACTGGGGAGGGGCACAGGAGGTCCCGGGCTCAGGCTGTACTCTTCCTCGCAGACCAGGAGGTGGTGGAGACACTGAGGATGGTGTCTGTCCAGCAGAGGGCGTGGCAGGAGAACGGTGAGCACTTTCAGTCATTGCTTCCTGTGTGCATCCCCGCAACCAGCACAGTCCTGAAACCAGCTCTGAGACCAGCTTGCCCAGGCACCGTGCAGGGTACTAGTGGTGGGGGTAGAGTGATGAACGAATCAGACGTAGTCCTTGTCATGTACCTGTCTGTCCCCGAGAAGTGTGTGTGTGCGCGCGCGTGCGCGTGCACGTGCAGATGTGTCCAAACCTCCGCTCTCCAATGTGGTGGCCAGAAAACCACATGTAGCTGTTGAGAGCTTAAAACATGACCTGTTCAAAATGGGATGTGCTGTAACTGTAAAATGCACACTAATTTCATTTCTTACATCTTTTTTATTCTTAGTACATATTTGTAGTACATAATAATTGTATTCATCTTGAATTAATATATATATATATATGTTTATTTTATTTTTATTTTTTTATTTAAAAATTTTTTTTGTGGTACCAGGGATTGAACTCAGGACTTTGTGCTTGTCAGGCAGTTGCGGTGCCACTGAGCTATATCTCTGGCCCCGTACATATTGCATCTTTTTTTTTTTTGGTACCAGGGATCAAACTCCGGTCCTTGCATTTGCCCAGCAGGCGGCGAAACCACTGAGCTAAATCCCCGGCCCCATATTGCATCTTAATCAATTTTATTCTCCCTTCCTCCCTTGCCATCTCTTCTCCCTCAGTCCCTAGATCCCCTTTGGATCTCCGAAAGTCTACCTCCTTGTTTCCTACTATCTCTCTTTTAGTTTGCTCTTTAAATTATTTATATTTTCAATTTCTCATGTAAGAGAAACCATGCACTAATCTTCTGTGTTTGATTTATTGCATAAAGATCTTAAAATCCATCTGTTTTTCTACAGATGACTGAAATTTATGCCATTGTCTATAAATACCACATTTGCTTTATGCATTGTGTTGTTATAAACAGAGATCTGCATGCATTACTATAAATGATGAATTAACTCTTTCAGAAAGATACCTAGAAGACAGATAATTGAGTCAAATGAAATTTCTACTTTTAGCTTTTCTGAGGAATTGTCATATTGATTTCCATAGTGGTTCTACTAGTTTACAATGCACCAACAGTGTAGAAAGGGTTCTTTCCCCCATGTTCTTGACAGCATTTGTGCTTTTTTGAGTCCTTGATGATAGTTTTTGTTATGGGAGTAAAATGGAATCTCAGTGTTGTTTTGATTTGGCCAAAGACGCTGAACTTGCTTCAAGAAAGAGTGTAACATATCTCTAAAAACTAATATTTTAAAATATGGAATATATATTGAAATGATAACATTGAGGATATATAGGGATAAATTAAAAAATAGCACTTAAATTAATTAATTATTTTGGGTGGTACTGATGATGGAGTGCAGGGCCTCATACATGGTAGGCAAATGCTCTATCACTGAGCAACTCCCTCAGCCTTCAATTTAATTTTACCTATTTCTCTTGACTTAAAAATACGGCTATTTCCAGGTGTGGTAGCACATGCCTGTATTCTCAGCTACTTAGGAGGCTGAAGCAGGAGGATCACAAGTTCAAGGCCAGCCTTGGCAATTTAATGAGACCTTGTTTCAAAATTAAATGAAAAAAGCCGGGGATTTCCCTCAGTGGTCCTGCTGCCTGCCTTGCAAGCGCAAGGTCCTGAGTTCAATCCCCAGTACCAAAAAAAAAAAAAAAAAAAAATTAAAATTACATAGCTGGGTGTAGTGGCACACACCTGTAATTTCAGTACTCAGGAGGCTGAGGCAGGAGGATTGGTGTGAGTTTGAAGCCAACCTGGGCTACATAGAGTTCAAGGGCAGCCTGAAATGCATAGTGAGAACCTGTCTCAAAAAAACCCACACAAAACAAACCCAACTCCCCCAAATAAAACTGCATCATTGATTGACATTATGTTTCTTTTGGACAGCACAGGTGTAGATAGTAATTAGTTGAATTATCACTCACATGAGTATAAAATACCAGATTCTGACACAGTCCAAGAGACAAAGGGTGCCCCTGCCCACCTGCTGTGACCCCCCCCCCCCCAGTTCCTGAATCACCCATTTCCTTTAAAACTTACCTTCAGGAAGTCCCCCATTTCCACTCCTTCCAAGTCTCAGGCATGGATCCCTTTTCTGAGCTGCTCTGGGACCCCTGGACTCTGGGAATGTAGTTTCTGGATTTTGGCCTGACCTTCTAGAACCTGAGTGCAGTTTCTTCTTACTTCTCTCTCTGTGTCTGTAGCCGGTGGATGGGGGGAAGATGGAGGGGGTTCTGTTTCTAACCCTCTGGCCTATCCCCCGACAGTGACTGGCATGGTAGGGCTGGCAGGCCTGAAGAAGGACATTGACCATGTAAGAGCTGACACAAACCAGTCCCTGGTGGAACTTCGGGCCTTATTAGGTGAGTGGGAGCTGGAGAACTGCCCAGAGATGGGTGACATGGCAGAGCCAGCACTACAATGTTGGCCAACAAGAGAAACTATTCTCCATTACTCCCTGCATTTGATTAGGTTTTATCCTGTAGTGAAAATCTGCATGCCTTGGTATAGTGTGTTGATAATCCCCTTTCCTTGTAAACATTTATCTGGTTTTAGGTAAAGATGGCATGAATCTACTAAAATGTATTGTAACATTTTCTTACCTTTTTTCATGGATTACATACATGTGGGATCATTCCTAAGTGAGTACATCTTATTTTTATTATAATGTTTTTTACTAATGTGTTTGTAATATATAATATTTTTTTTTTTTGGTACCGGGGATCGAACTGTCCTTATGCTTGCACAGCAGGCGGCGAAACCACTGAGCTAAATCCCCAGCCCTGTAATATATAATAAATACATTCACTGTGGGGAATGGGCATATATATCCATATCATGATATCATATATTGACCAATGTATTAAGTTTCAAGGAATCACTTGTAATTCCACTGGGAGATGAATTTACAGAGGGAAGTTTCTGATTGACACTTAAGTTTCTTGCCAACTTCTTTGATTTTCCAGCATGCCCATACTTTTAGTGCCAAATTTGAAATTTTATATATTTCTAAGAATTTATTTATTGACTGCCTAAAATTTATTAAATCACAATTTTGTTACATTTTTATATCTCTTTATATTGACAGTCTATGTGACTTCACAACTGCACATGGGATACTGTGTATCTCACAAGTACAGAGCCCCCGACAACATCCTCTCTTGTCCCCAGGATGTACCAAGGTCACCTGCCCTGATGACTGGCTTCCCTTTGAGAGCAAGTGCTACTACTTCTCCCCCAGCACCAAGTCATGGGATGATGCCCGGAAGTTCTGCCAGGAGAACTACTCTCATTTGGTCATCATTGATAGCTCTGCTGAGCACGTGAGTCTTCCCTGCTGAGCTCTGGGACCTGCAAGACCAGCCTGCATGGCTTCCAGGAATCACACACCCTCTCCTTGCCTGGATGGAGAGAAGTTAGATTTACTTTTAAATTACTAAAATGGGTCTGGTGGCACATGCCTGTAATTCCAGTGACTTCCAGGCCAGACTGAACTACATAGCGAGACCCTGTCTCAGAAAAAAAAAAAATTACTTTTGAGTTACTAAACCTTCATGGCAGAGCTTTCCTGAGTTGGAATCATGCAGAAGTTAAGAGGATATCCTTTGAGTTCAAATCCTGATTGTGTTTCTTAGGGCCAGAGATTTAGCTCAGTGCTTCCACCACCTGCCTCGCAAGTGCAAGGCCCTGAGTTCAATCCCTGGTACCAAAAAAAACCAAACAAAAACACTTTACTGATTGTGTTTCTTTAACCTCTACAAGTTTCATTTTTATCTCTACCATGGAAATATCATGTCTAGCACTTTCTGTTTTCCAGGGTGTATTCCAAGCACTTACACCATACATGCACCAGGACATGTGATTTTCCTAACCCTATAAGTCAGTGGATCAGTCAGAAGAGGTTCTGTTATGCTGCAGAAACAGAGAGACCCCATATCAAATCACATACTGACTCTGGAAGCTTTCACTCATACTTACAAAACAAGTACATGAATACTTCTGTCCTCTAAGACGGTAGGAAAGTAAGGTCTAACCTGTGTGATCCCAAAGGAGAGCTGGAATATCTGTAAACAACTTTCTTGATGTAGTAGTACAACAGTTAGGTAATATTGCCCTTTGGACATAGTACATATCATTTGCACCTCACAGATGAAGTCCCTGAGCTATAGGATGTGTAAGCAACTTGCCTGTGGTCACTCAAAACTAGTGTCAGAGCTGAGGTGTGGGTCGAGATAGCTGGTGTCAAAGTGCAGAATTTGCTGGGCATGGTGGTACACGCCTGTAATTCCAGCATTCTGGGAGACTGAGGCAGGAGGATCACAAGTTCGATCCCAGCCCAGGAAACTTAGTGACTTAGCAAGACCTCAGCTCAAAATAAAAAATAAAACAAGAGCGAGTAAGGAGCTCAGTGCAAGGGCCCTGGGTTCAATCCCCAGTACCACAAAAACCAAACCAAACCCAAACGAAAACAGTTCAGAATCTTAACTATGAAAACCATAGTCCTACCAATTAGTGTTTTCTTCATGGTCTTTTTCATCCTTCACTTCTTTTGTATGGTACTGAGATTGAGCCCAAAGACCCCTAATCTACCACTCTACCACTGTACTTTAACCCAGGCCTTTTTGTTTTTTATTTTGAGACAGGGTCTTGCTAAGTTGTCAACACTAGCCTTGAACTTGTGATCCTCTTAGCTCAGCCTCCCAACCAGCTGAGGTTACAGGTGTATTCTGCCTCCGTTCTTTGACTTTTAACTTAGCTATGCATTATATTTACCATGGTTTTCTTCTAGACAGTATATAGTAGGTCTTGGGTTTGAAAACATCTCATCTGATAATCTCTGGTTTTAAATTTTATTTTGTACCAGGAATTGAACTTGGGACCTTGCGCCTGCGAGCCAGGTGCCAGAACCACTGAGCTAAATCCCCAGCCCTTAATATTGTTTTTTTTTTTTTTTGAGACATGATCTCACTGGTTCAGGCTGGTCATGAGCTCCCTATGTAGCTCAGGCTTGTCTGGAACTTGCAGCAATCTTCCTGCCTCAGTCTTCTGAGTGCTGGGATTATAGCATATCCCCATAAAGTCAGGGTTCAGAGTTCGCAGCCTCAGTCATTCGAAGATTTTTCCTTAGAACCTACCTAAAAATTGTGGAAACACTTGGGCTTTCTCAGAAACCATAAATATCCTCCAAAATTGTTTTTTTGGCAGGAGGTTTGCAAATAGCCAGTCTGAGAGCATTATTCAGTTCTCTTTGCTGCTGATTGGCTGCTGCCCTGTAACTCACCTCTGACAGATGCATCAGCATTCCTGCATCATAACAGGTTGCTGTACTGCATGTAGTTATCTCTAGAGTTCTTGGTTTTGTTCTTCTTAAAGCCTTAAGATCTCTAAGATGCCGCCAAAATGCCCTGCACCTTCTAAGGCTTTATTTAATATAGTATTTTATTAAATTAAATTACATAACTGCTGGAGACACAGCATATTTAGGGTTTAAACTATAAAAATAGGCATTTATAGATATTTTCTGACCATATCTGAAATTCAGTTTTTCAGTTTGTGGGTATTCTAGGAATGTAATTCCTGCGAATTTTGGGGGTCCACTGCACAGATGTGTGACACCATGCCTGGGTTAATTGGTGTTTTTAGACCATTTACATATAATATAATTATTGATTTGGTTGGATTTAGGTCTACATTATTATTATTACTTTCCTGGCTGGAGGTGGAACCCAGGGCCTCATATGCTAGGCAAGTGCTCTATTGCTGAGCTGCACTCCTAGTCCTTACCATCTTATCCTTTTATTTTTTACTTCCACTGTTTCATGGCATCATTTGAATGAGTTAAATAAGAGAATGTCAGTGGAGCAGATACAAATCATATTTCTCTAAACTCAGTCAGGTTCACAAGAAATGTTTTCCTTATGCATTTGTTTCTCTTTGGAACTCCCATTCTACCAGGGTGCTGGATATTTAATCTCAGTCAACTGAGATTTTCTTCTGAATGGGGACAGCTTATGTATGACCCAGGTAGAAGAGAACATGTATCTGGTCCTTGGTATCTTTGTTTATTTTTTTTGTGGTATTGGGAGTGGAATCCAGGACTTTGTGCATGTTAGGCAAGAACTCTGCCACTGAGCTGCATCTCCAGACCATTTTATTTTTTATTTTGAGACAAGATCTTGTTAAATTGCCCACAATGACCTTGAACTTTTGATCCTCCTGCCTCAGCCTCCTGAGTAGTTGGGATTACAAGAGAGTGTACCACTGCATTTGGCCTTGTTCCTTGATATTTTTACTGCAAGTTGGTACCCACTGAGACATCCACTGACTGAATGATTCTAGATAAGTTATTTAATCTCTCTGTGCCTTGTTTTTCCCTTCTACAAAACTGGAATAATAATACTAGAGCTGGGCATGAGGGTTAGCACGTATAGTCCTAGCTACTCAGGAGGCTGAGGAAGGAAGATTGAGCCTAGGAATTTGAGGCTAGCCTGGACAGCACAGAGACCTTTTCTCAAAAAAAAAGAAAGACTTGTTTCCAGTGGTCATGTTGAGGATTGAGAGAATCTGTATAAAGTCCATAGTTTACTTATAAATTAATTAAACCAATGTTTTCTGAATGTCTACTATATTCAAGGCACTATTCTAATCAGTGTGTGTTCTCTCTGTCTCTTCTTGTTTTGTTTTTGTTTGTTTGTTTTGTTTTTTGAGACAGGGTCTCACTCTGTAGTTCAGGCTGGCCTTGAACTCACCATGTAGGCCAGGTTGGCCTGGAATTCATAGTGATTCTGCCTCAGCCTCCTGAGTTCTGGGATTACAGCCATTTGCCACTGCTCATTCTCCTCCTCTTGCCTTCCTCTTCTTCATCTTCCTCCTTCTCCTTTTTCTGGTACTGTCCATGAAACCCTGGTACACTCTACCACTCAGGTACATCTCTATCCCTCTTAAATATTCTTTTTTTTTTTTTTTTTTTAAATTTTGAGACAAGGTCCCACTGAATTGCCCAGTTAGGACTCAAACTCGCCTCTCTCCTGCCTCTGCCTTCCTCAGGGCTGGGATTACAGGTGTGCAGCAACATGCCTGCCTGAGTTTCCTCCTCCTCAGCTACCCTCATTGTAGTGTCTAGAACATAAGTTCTGGCTTTTCTGGTTTTCTGGCTCTCACTCTTTGGAAGACCTGAGCTACCCGAGGGACCCACTGTGCTGTCAGCATGGGCTTTCCTGTCTGGGTATTTCTCTGTCAACTTCCTTGCTGTTCTTGGGCACAGGGATCTTTTTGCTCTAAAAGACTGTGAGAGGGCTGGGGTGCAGCTCAGATGTAGAGCTCTTGTGTAGCATGTGCAGAGCCCTGGGTTCTATCTTTAGCACAAAACAAAACAAAAGGAAAAAAATGACCGTGGAATCCTGAAGGCTCCATTCACTTGGATCCAATATACAGATAGGCAGGCTTCTCTTCTCTCTGGTTTCTAATACCGTATGGAGCTTTAAGTAGTGCCTAGATCACTTTTGCTTTTTTACAGTCCCCAAATCTATTTGTGCTTTTTTTTGGGTCATAACTTGGGGCTCCCAGGGGACGATGTGTGGAGTTCTTCTTTCTGCAGCCCACTGTGTCTACACATTCACAACTTCCTTCCTGTTCTGTCTCTGCTCACCACATCCTTGGTTAGTCATCCTCAGTCTGGTGCCAAGTGTGTGCATGTGTGATTTCCACAGAATAAAGCACACAGGTCCTAATGGTGGATTTTGACAGATGTAATTGTCAACTCAACCAAGGTTTACAACATTTCCTTCTCCCTGGAAAGTCCTCCCATGCTCCTTTCCTGGTTAACCCTCACCATGTGCAGTGATTTCTTCACCACCATAAATTAATTTGCCAGGACAGAGTACAGATATTGCTTTTATTTTATTTATTTATTTATTAAGCAAAAACATCTATCGGTACATTTTAGATATATATAATTATAACATTCAACATAGGGAATTTGTACCCATACGTGATATATCTTGCATCTTTTATTCCCCATTCTCCCCCTTCAACTCCTCTTCCCATCCATATATACAAAAGCTTTGTTTCCATTTTTCCTTCTACACTTGATCTTAGCCAAAAGGCCAAGAAGTGATCCATTTTTCCTTCTATTTTCTTTTTTTCTTGTTCCTTTTTTCTTTCCCCCTCTCCCCTGCCTTATTCCCCTTTGCATTTGAACATTTTCTTCCCATTTCCAGTTGTCTATTGTACATTTTAGTCCTTATTTCCACTTTTGGTTTCTACACCAGAGAAACAATGCAGTATTTAACATGTGTGTTCAATTTGTTTCACTTAAGAGTAT